AGACACTGTAGATTTCCATTGGGCCAATCCTTAAAGCTAATATTCCAGTGGTTCCATTAAAGGAAAGAAAATGTTAAAATATATTGATTCTATATACATAGAAGCTTACATGTAGAAACATAAATACGTGCAACACATATAAATCTTTGTGTTTACATATGCAGCTTTTCTTCCAGCGATGATAGGTGCCCTAGAAACATTCACTAATCTTTGCAACATCCCAGAGGGTAAGTAGCAAGAATTATTGTCTTCATATTGCAGGTGAAATTCCTAGGTAGGGGCAGATTAAGTGACTTGGCCGGGTCACTCTCTAAGTCACTTATGAAGCTAGCAATAAAACTCCAGACTCTTGACTTTAAGTTCTCATTCTGAGTCATTGCATTCCTGAAAACAGAGGTACCAGACCCGCCAGTATCGGTGCTGCTTTTCCTCTGTTGAATAGTAACCATTGGTGTAAATCCTGTCCCTGTTAAGGAAAGCTTGCTGTCTGGCACTTGCACACACAGGATACTGAGTCCCTGAAGGGCACTTTAGAGCGTACTCTGCCGTTACAATGAATGAGCTCAGGTGGCAAAAGGATATCAGTAAAGCTAGTTTCTGGCGAGCTCAGCCCTGTGAAGAACTGAAAGTATTGGAAGTTTCCATAACTTCAGAGATTCGGATAATTTCTTTAACATCTATAGTGATTCAATCCATCTTGTTACTTGACTTTCTCCTTAATAATTTCAGATCACCCATATTGTTGAAGTTAGTATTCTAAAAGGCTTGGCCCCTGCCCTCAGGAAGCACGTACCTTACACTCACTAAGACGTGCTTAATGGTACAAAATACGCATTAGCATCGCCTCAAACCTTCCTGTGCATCTTCTCTTCCTCCTTCTTTGGTCTTTTCTTTTTTATTAGCCACTTGGATTCAACTTGAAAGCTAAAGAATGGCTGGGAGCCTCAGCATTTCTCCATTCTTCCACAATGGTGGGCTGTAAATGGAGAATATCAGGCTCCCATTTGGTGACTGAGCAGCCCTTCCGGGGATACGCTTGTCTGTCTGTCCCCAGTAGCTGGGATAAAATCAAATCAAGCCTTTGAGCTCTCCTCCTCAGGTTGGCCCTTGAGGGGCCGGTGGCTCATGTCAAGGTACTTTGTGCCCTGGAGCCTTTTTTCTGTGGAATACTCTTTCTAGCATGACTTCACTCTTCTGTTGGTGAGCACTTTCCCCCATAAATATGACCGAACAGGTGTTGCTCTGCTGCTGACTGAGTTTCCAGCTGTCCTCCTCTGACACAGACCTGGCAAAATCTGTTGTTTCGTCCTTTTCGGCAGACTAGAGAACCATCAAGCCTGAGATGGAGGTCTTCCTTGCAGGATATGGCAGTTTTGTTGCCAGAAGATGGTCGGGAAAGCCTGGCTGGCTAACAAAGACAGGCCTTCAGCAGCTGGGTGTAGTTCCAGTTCTGCATCCCCTTTGGCAGGAGCACAGAGGCTGCTGCAGTGTGGCCAGCCAGCAAAATTAGGAAATAAGGACCTCTTTTATTTACTCAGGCTGCTGAATCATGGGCATTCCTGTCTGCTTGGAGAAAAGTCAGGCGGCTCTACTTTCCACTGAAAGTCTCAGGAGTGTTTGAGACTTTCATCTCGGAGTGTTCACACACTTGTTTTAATGTGCTTTATGGAAATGGCGAAACTCAGCAAGTACAGTTGCTGTAGAAAAACATCTGTACTAACTATGCACACACATTTGCATCTTTAAATAGACTTTTAGGCTGTGAAGCTGGTTTTCCAGCAAAGTTTTTTTTTTCCGGCCTTAAGGGCTATAGCTGTCCCAGAGTCAGCTAGTGTGAAGTGACTGATTCCAAAAATTAAAATTTAACATGGACATGTTAAGTACTTCACATTGAAATGCAGAAGACTTGCCATAACAGAGAAAGACATTCCTGTAAGTAGCACTTAGTGGGTGCCGAAGGGAGAAAAAGTTCCAGTTGATTCAGAAATTGGAGTTGAAAGAATCCTTCATAGTTTCTTCCATATGAAAAAAGAACTTGAAATTGTTTAAATCTATATTAGCTTTTTAAACCTAGTTTGTGTTGTGACTGCCAAAAAGCTTAAGCTAATGGGGACGGGTAGCTTTCAAAGACTTAGGTAGACCTCAGAGAATGTTGGCAGCAACACCACCACCACAAGTCTTGGGAGAGTCTCATACCCTTGGAGCATGGACCAGCCCCTCTGGGAGTTTTGTCAGTGAGGTCCTTGTGTGTCCCTGGGAGAATAGGTACATTTATAGTACTAGCAAATGAGTTTTTTACAATTTAGATTTTAAAACAGAAATCAGCCTTTCATGAAACCTTTATTTATTTTTCTAAAAGTAGCATTCCCTGTTCAAACTTTTTACTTCTGCTCAATCTATTCCAGCCCCCAAACCAAGCCTTATGAATTCTGTAGGTGATTCCGTGTATTTCACTTTCAAAGACACATCATCTATGATTATCACTTTTCTTTTTTTCCCCAAAGACCCAGTAATAGAGACAGGAGAGAGAGAAGAGAAGGTTTCCAGCTCCCTTGAATCCTGGTTTGAGTAAAAACTTGATTCTGACCCTCAGTTCCCTTGATATGTCGTTGAAATTTACAATTTTAAGAGAACAGTTATGTAATAGGTATAGTCTGGCATGGCACACAGATAAGAACCGGATTTAAGCGTGGTGTCAAGGATTGCACACTATTTATAAAGATCAATTGCTCTTGTGCAATTGTAATTCTTTGTGCCTTTGTATAATAATATATCATGCCTGGACACAATTTGCAATTTAATAATAAATTTACTTGCTAAATTTTCGGGCTCAATAGTTATATTCTTCCAGTCTAGATGCATGACAAATTCTGATTCACTGTTTTCCCCAATTGTACAAATGAGATGATGTATTTGAAATATTTTTAAGTGAAACAACAGGATATAAGCTTAAAAGATTATTGTGAAATGTGGTCGATTTTTACCTAGAATGCTGAACAAATTTAATAAATAGTGATTTTTTCAATTAGGGGAAATTTTTTAAACTTTGGTTTGTTTTAGGGAATACCACCAGCTTTAAATGACTTACAGCTTTTTAAGGGGAAAGCTAGAATCATCAAGTTTTTTTGTTTTTACGTTTTTAAAATTATTTTTCTGTATGTTAGGTGGTGACTTGAGTTTCTCCATGTATGTTCTTTATATGTATTCACCTTTAAATTTAAATCACACACACAATTATCCTACCCTTTCTTATGCTGGAAACGTTGGGTTATAGACTCACATAAATGAGGATGCAAAATCATGTGGTTTTCAACTTGTATTGCGAAGCTTTGTTGCAGTGGGCAGGGATCCAGGAATGGTGTTTGGTTGTTTTCTCAGAGTTAGATGGTTGCCATCTGGCATTGATAGTGAGATGGTGTTGTCATCAGTTTCTAGATGCAGGAAAGGAATGATCCTCATCTGTTTCCTGTGGATAAGCAAGAGGTTGATAATCTAGCAAAATCTTGTTACCTTAAAGAAAGCAGACGTGGAATTTGTTTACATAATGCTTGCCAGTTTCTACTTTTATGTTAATAATATAGCTTGCTAGGTGACTTTAGCTTTGAAGAATTTAAAAATTGATTTGATTGTATGCTAATTGAATATTATTAGAATATCCTAATAATAGTCTAATTGAATCTATTTTTCTAATAGAATCACTATCTCCACCAGCTCTGCTCTATGGCCTTCACTTGTCTGCATTTATGAAAAATCTTGCTCTTTTGGAGGGTGAAAAGCTTTTACAGTTTTTTCTGATCTGATCTTGAATGATAGATTGTTTTGAAAAGCAAAAAAGAAGTTTCACAACCCATTTGAGAAGGTCTTATTTTCCACTTGGATATGAAGAAAGCATAGAAGTAAGAGTGCACATTTGCTAAGAACATAGTTAAAAAAAACACCTCATGTGAGGTAGAGTTACTTTATGGATAACTTGCTAAGGTTATATCTGGCTTTCAGTCTTGTTTGTCTTCTCTTTGTTACTCATAAATCTTTCAGCATTTACCATAATCATTTATCACTTTTCCTGTTTCCAGTTTTTCGCAAGTTGCTTTGTCTCTGCTCACCTCAAAGTGCAGGTCCTGTTTGGCTAAGGAAGTTCATGCTGCTGAAGCTTTTACAAAAGGAAGAGATGGTGGGCCACCTCTTGAACTTTCCAAACAAAATACACTGTTACAATCTGGCCCTTGTGAAGCTCTCATTTTTTCTTGATCCTGGCTGATCCTTGCTACATCTAATATCAGGCAGTACCCTTCTAACATTTAATAATCCATTTTCTGGCCTATGGTATTCGAATCTTTCAGTTATTGAAGAAATCCTGGTTGTCTTTCATTACACAAGACATAATTATTATTGTGTTTTCCGTCTTCTTTCTGTGCTTACTTTTTAATATTTTTTTGCTGAAAGCAATAAGGTCTGTATCAATAAAAACCCTATAACAGATTTTGGTCTTCAGAATTGCCTTTTTATATAAAAACAAGCAAAATGCAGAGGGAATTTTTTATTAAATATTAGACATCTGGGTTGACTGCATTAATTTTAAATCATTCTTGTAATATTTCCTCTTTTCATTTGGCTCTTCAGATGCTCACATAATATGCAAATCATTTTAGAATGAATACAAAAGAAACATTAAATATATTAAAATCTGCATTTTAATAAAATTGTCAATGTGTAATATATACCTTGCTTCTAAGGAAGAATGATAAAAAGTAATAAAAGGGTAATTTAGACATAGAACTATTTAATATCTTTTTATATTTTACAGCCCAGTAAAAAGTAAATGTGGAATAAAAGATTTGGGCTCAGATTTGAAGTGTTCCACTCAAATATTCTCTCCTCCACTTTTTTTTCCCTGAAAGGCTATAAATGGTCCAAATGTGTGTACTTGTTGAAATGGTACAGTAAGCTCGTTCTTGAATTCTCAATACATAAAATGAACTGTTGGTTGCTTCTCATTTCAGATGGAGTGGATGTTGAAGATGATCCCACTTGCTCTTGGCCAGCTTCCTCACCTTCCAGCAAGGACCAGACTTCCCCTAGCCATGGAGAAGGTTGTGATTTTGGAGAGGAAGAAGGTGGTCCTGGACTCCCATATCCATGCCAATTCTGTGACAAGTCGTTTAGCCGCCTCAGCTACCTAAAGCACCATGAGCAGAGTCACAGTGACAAACTGCCTTTCAAATGCACCTATTGCAGTAGGCTGTTCAAACACAAGCGGAGCCGAGATCGCCATATCAAACTCCACACAGGGGATAAGAAGTACCACTGCAGTGAATGTGATGCTGCGTTCTCCAGAAGTGATCACTTGAAGATCCACTTAAAGACTCACACGTCCAACAAGCCATATAAATGTGCCATTTGTCGCCGTGGCTTCCTGTCCTCTAGTTCCTTACATGGACACATGCAGGTTCACGAGAGGAACAAGGACGGTTCCCAGTCTGGTTCCAGGATGGAGGACTGGAAGATGAAGGACACTCAGAAGTGCAGTCAGTGCGAGGAAGGCTTTGACTTCCCGGAAGACCTCCAGAAGCATATCGCTGAATGCCACCCTGAATGTTCCCCAAACGAGGACCGAGCGGCCCTCCAGTGTGTCTACTGCCATGAGCTCTTTGTGGAGGAGACCTCCCTCATGAACCACATGGAGCAGATGCACGGAGGGGAGAAGAAGAACTCTTGCAGCATTTGTTCTGAGAGTTTCCACACGGTCGAGGAACTGTACAGCCACATGGATAGTCACCAGCAACCCGAATCCTGCAATCACAGCAACAGCCCTTCCCTGGTCACGGTGGGCTACACCTCTGTGTCCAGCACGACTCCAGATTCCAACCTCTCAGTGGACAGCTCAACCATGGTGGAAGCTGCCCCGCCAATCCCAAAGAGTCGAGGGAGGAAGCGGGCTGCCCAGCAGACCCCTGACATGACCGTGCCCTCAAGTAAACAAGCAAAAGTTACCTACAGCTGTATTTACTGCAACAAGCAGTTATTTTCAAGTCTGGCAGTTCTGCAGATTCACCTGAAAACTATGCATTTAGATAAGCCTGAACAGGCCCATATTTGTCAGTATTGCCTGGAGGTATTGCCCTCACTCTATAACCTAAACGAACATCTTAAGCAAGTGCATGAAGCTCAGGACCCAGGTCTGATTGTTTCTGCCATGCCCGCCATAGTCTACCAGTGTAACTTCTGCTCCGAAGTTGTCAATGACCTCAACACTCTTCAGGAACACATCCGATGTTCTCATGGATTTGCGAACCCTGCAGCTAAGGATAGCAACGCATTCTTTTGCCCCCATTGCTACATGGGGTTTCTTACTGACTCTTCCCTCGAAGAGCATATAAGACAGGTCCATTGTGACCTCAGTGGCTCCCGATTTGGGTCTCCAGTGCTTGGGACTCCAAAAGAACCAGTAGTAGAAGTCTATTCTTGTTCCTATTGTACGAATTCTCCAATATTCAATAGTGTTCTTAAACTGAACAAGCACATCAAAGAGAATCATAAAAACATTCCCTTGGCCCTGAATTATATTCACAATGGGAAAAAATCCAGGGCCTTGAGCCCCCTATCTCCTGTGGCCATAGAGCAGACATCTCTTAAGATGATGCAGGCAGTGGGAGGTGCTCCTGCACGTCCAGCCGGAGAATATATCTGTAATCAGTGTGGTGCTAAGTACACGTCCCTAGACAGCTTTCAGACTCACCTAAAAACTCACCTTGACACTGTGCTTCCAAAATTGACCTGTCCTCAGTGCAACAAGGAATTCCCCAACCAAGAATCCTTGCTGAAGCACGTTACCATTCATTTTATGATCACCTCAACGTATTACATCTGTGAGAGTTGTGATAAGCAGTTCACGTCAGTGGATGACCTTCAGAAACACCTGCTGGACATGCACACTTTTGTCTTCTTCCGCTGCACCCTCTGCCAGGAAGTTTTTGACTCGAAAGTCTCCATTCAACTTCACTTGGCTGTAAAACACAGTAACGAAAAGAAAGTCTACAGGTGCACGTCTTGCAACTGGGACTTCCGCAATGAGACCGACTTGCAGCTCCATGTGAAACATAACCACCTGGAAAATCAAGGGAAAGTGCACAAGTGCATTTTCTGTGGTGAGTCCTTTGGTACTGAGGTGGAGCTTCAGTGCCACATCACCACTCACAGTAAGAAGTATAACTGTAAGTTCTGCAGCAAAGCCTTCCACGCCATCATTTTGCTGGAGAAACACTTGCGGGAGAAGCACTGTGTGTTTGAAACCAAGACTCCCAACTGTGGAGCAAATGGGGCTTCTGAGCAAGTGCAGAAGGAGGAAGTGGAGCTGCAGACCTTGCTGACCAACAGTCAGGAGTCCCACAATAGTCATGATGGGAGCGAAGAAGACGTGGACACCTCGGAGCCCATGTATGGGTGTGACATTTGTGGGGCAGCCTACACGATGGAAACTCTGCTGCAGAACCACCAGCTCCGAGACCACAACATCAGACCTGGAGAAAGTGCCATCGTGAAGAAGAAAGCCGAGCTTATAAAAGGGAATTACAAGTGTAACGTGTGCTCTCGAACCTTCTTCTCTGAAAATGGCCTCCGAGAACATATGCAGACCCACCTAGGCCCTGTCAAACACTACATGTGCCCTATTTGTGGAGAGCGGTTTCCCTCCCTCTTAACTCTTACCGAACACAAAGTCACACACAGTAAGAGTCTCGATACCGGAAACTGCCGGATTTGCAAGATGCCTCTCCAGAGTGAAGAAGAGTTTTTAGAGCATTGCCAAATGCACCCTGACTTGAGGAATTCCCTGACAGGATTTCGCTGCGTGGTCTGCATGCAGACAGTGACCTCCACCTTAGAACTCAAAATCCATGGGACATTCCACATGCAAAAGACAGGGAATGGGTCTGCGGTTCAGACCACAGGGCGTGGCCAGCACGTCCAAAAACTGTACAAGTGTGCATCTTGCCTGAAAGAATTCCGTTCCAAGCAAGATCTGGTGAAACTTGACATCAACGGCCTGCCATATGGTCTGTGTGCTGGCTGTGTGAATCTCAGTAAGAGCGGCAGCCCAGGCATCAACATCCCTCCCGGCACGAGTAGACCAGGCTTGGGCCAGAATGAGAGTCTGAGTGCCATTGAGGGAAAAGGCAAAGCAGGGGGACTGAAGACTCGCTGCTCTAGCTGCAATGTTAAGTTTGAGTCTGAAAGTGAACTCCAGAACCACATCCAAACGATCCACCGAGAGCTCGTGCCAGATAGCAATAGCACACAGTTGAAAACTCCACAAGTATCACCAATGCCCAGAATCAGTCCCTCCCAGTCGGATGAGGTAACTTGCCTTTTTAATGTTTGCTATTTAACCTCCTCAAGTAACTGTCTCCACTTTATGTGTACACTTTCCTAGCTTTATTCATTGTCATGTGCCAAGAGATGCTTAGATTGAAATGCAATGGTTTTTTTTCCCCCATAGCCATTAGCTAGCAATTACTTGCTTCTTGATAAGCAGCATTTTGGCTTGAATGGTGCAAAATAGGACTAATTCCAGTCTCCCTAGGATATTGTCTTCTCTATGACTGAAGAGACCAGCGCTCATGCCAACACCACTGAGATCTGGAATCTCAGCATAGCTTCACCGCGAGTTGAAATCCCCAGCTATGACTTGTGTGCATGGCAGAGAAATAATGACATAAAAGTAAGATGCTATGAGCCAACATGCTGGCTTAGAGTAAATTAAAAAGAATATATATATTTGTGGATAACAAATTGGGTAGAGGTGGCTTTTTAATACCGTGCTCTCAACACTCACTGTTTTTCTTTGTCTTCTGAGTAGTGAGGAAAATATTTTCTCACAACAGGATTTTCTAAAAGCCCCTATATTTATTAAGCACCGCATGCCCAACATTCCTTTTAAAGGCACACTCCCAGAGTCTTCACTCTCTGGGTTTGAGTTTCAAAATTAGTGTGTGTTTTTTTCTGAGTTTAAGAGTAGTTTCATGTTTTCTTTGCCACAGTGAGTATGAAAAACAAGTTCGTTTACAACGACATAGTTTTACAAGTCATCATGCTGTGAAGCTTAGCCGAGGATGGCTCCTTTTATTATAATGTCTTTATGCTTTATCACCTGGTTTCTAATAGCTCTTTCCACTTTCCCTACCTGCCCCTATCTGGAGATCCATCCAAATGAAAACCCCAGGGAGATCCATCTCCCTTCAGTTTGGGGTCACTGCATTTTCCTTATCTTGTCTCTGCATTCACGCCCTCCTTGCGGGCCCCCTGCGTCTCCCTGCAGATAGCCATCAGTCAGCTGGTAGGGGAGAGCTGGAAGACTAACGGAGAGCCCATCCTCAGAAAATGTGGCATCTGTGTGACAGGCAAGCTCCCAAACTTTGAAGCTGCTTTCCCTTCTCCCCTCCTCAAGTAAATCTGCACCTTTCTCTCACTTAAATAAATGAAGTCCTTTCAAACAGATGAGGACAGCTGCAAGACCAGTTTTCATAATGGCTCACGCCTCGTGTGTTGGATCAAATAGTTTCTTTTGAAACAAATACTGTAGTTATAATCATATGAAATGAATTATTTTTTTTAACTTTTTTTATTTCAAAAATGTTTAAATCTATAGAAAAGTTAGAGGAATAACACAATGAGCGTATGTGTATTTGTGTATCCACGTCACAGATTTACCAGATAGAAACATTTTGTCACGTTTTTCTCTCACTCTTTGAAACCTTTTTTATTAACTTGAGCCACATGGAAGTAAGTTTCAGATATCATGATATCTCCTAAGAATAAGGACATTTTCCTATTTAAACATAATATCATTAGCTAAGGCAGTTAACTAAATCAGCTAAAGAAATTAAATAAATCTGTAATGTCATCTATAAGAAGTCCATATTCAGATTTCCCCAATTGTCTCCAAGATGTCTTATTTTTAAAGTGTTTATGAACAAGAATTTTAAGAAAACATTTATGTAGAAAATTACTCCTCTCTTTTTTATTTTGCTATGCTTAACAAATATGGAGGAGTTTGTATATTCATGTTTAATTTAAATAGTGTATAAAGTTGATTTAAAATGACTGTATTTGTGTGTGTGTGTGTGTGTGTGTGTGTGTGTGTGTGTGTGAGATTGTGGTGGTATGTGTTCATTTAAAATCAAGCAAAACCAGGTTCTTGTTTCTTAGATTGTTTATGGAAAGGCATATGCCTGTTTCTTCTTATCTGCTCCTGGATTATATTTTCTGACATTTCTAAATTGCTACGTGTATTATAATACCATTTAAGGTGAAATATTTTTAAAAGGAAGGAGGACATATTTACATGTTAATTTGGTTAGAGTTACTTGATTAGGAGAATTTCTCATTAAGGAATGGTCAAATTGTTCATTATACCTAAAATCTTAATGATAATGATAAGGTTTAACTACATCCTACACTTACATAGAATAATATATAAAATATTTTTTAAAGTACGTTTTAATTGTAATTCTTACAATAGTGTTTTTTAAACACCTAGCTACTGAGGGTTAAAATGATTCTTTATGTAGAAGGCTACCTCTTTGTTAAACCTGATTAATAAGAGCTTGTAGCAATGCCCTTAATTGACCAGATATTAGGATTCAGTTGTACATATTTCCTTTGTGCTTCAAAAGTTCACTAATTTGTTCAACATTTTCATCATTACCCTTTTTCTTCATTAGACTATTTACGTCATAAATTTTATGTGCCCACTTTCTTTCTGAAAGTCTCTACAGTTAAAAATGTACAGTAGACCATAATATTTGGACTTGACATAGAAAATTATCTAAACGTGTAAAATTTTACAAAAAGAAGCCTATAAGTAAGGTCAGCAAGAATAAGACGTATGATAAATACTAGTTTGTTCACATTCTTTGTTAGCCAAGTTATGCTTCTGTGACTTCTCATTCTGAGTAATATGTAAATTTTTCACCAGCGTAGGTAAAAGAGAAATTATTACGTCTTTGCCAAAAGACAGGTATGCCATATGGGAATAAATTTTTTAACAAAAAGAAGTATAACGTGTGTGTCTATTAACTTAGATGTCCTAGGTAGGAATTGAAGGACTTAGTGTTGTAGGTGGTATTTTCATCTCTTCTTCTTGCTGAGGATTGAGACATCAGAAGAGAAAAGAAGACCACAGGAGATAATAAAACCTTGATACATAGATATCGTCAAGAACAAGATTAGATTTTTCTGGACTATGACTTAAAATCACATAAAGGTATTGGTAGACGCTGGAACGCATCTTTCAAAGACTGAAAAGAATGTGGTCGAGACTAGGTTACCTATTTAAAAGGGATTTAGGTATAATCTAGGGAAGGATTAGTACTGTATAAACTCATACAATCCATGAAGTGGATGAAAGACAAGGCCTGTGACACTTAAAGAAGGATCATAGTAGGTAGCTGTCATGTAGTAGAGAAAGTTGGAATTGAAGACAGAAGATCTGAATTTGAACCCCCATTTCTTCTGTGTAATGCTTTCTGAATTTATGGAAAATGTGTTCTTTGTGCCAAAATCCTATGATTATTAATCTAAATTTTATGGAGACTTTGTTTTGGATAAAATTTCAGGGGGGAACCTATTCATTTCCTTTTGCTCCACAAATGTTGAGTATGATCTAAATTTGTACATAACCTACAATGATTCCATAAATGGTAGAGATCATTTGAGACAGAAGGAACACTGGCCATCTAGCTTTTTCCACATATGAAGCATCTTGCAGAGTTACTGACATTTACTATGTGTTAAATAAATCTTAGTTCTTTTTCTGGCATTTATTGCCACTGGCTTGGCTCTCTGGTCAGGTGCTGCCCCATCTGGACCTCAAAATGTTGTCTCATGATGATATTGGAAGCATGTGTTCTTCTGCCTCCATATCTACAGGACCCTTCATAGCCAGGTGTCTCCCAGGGATTATTTACTCACATTTCAATTCATGCCATCCCCACTAGTCCATTGAAATTGCTCTTGCAAGGGTTACCAGTTATCTCCATGTTGCTAGTTGCCCATACAGTGCCACAGAATCAGTTCTAGAGGGGACAATGCAGATCATCTGATTAAGCTGCCTTATTTTACAGACAGCAAAACAGACCCAGATAAATAGGATCTAAGGTCACACAGCTAGTTAAGTGGTAGACAAGGAGCTCTGAGAATCCAGGTCTCTAACTCCAGGTTCAAGATTCTCTTTTCATAATTCCACTGGCACTTTCCTCTAGTGCAGTTTCATCCCTGTCCTTTTCATAAAATCCTCTCAGTATTGCTGTCTTGTTTTCTCTTGTCACTCACTTCCTCCACCCACTGCAAGGGATCTTCTGCTCCCATCCCTTTCCTACAACTGACTTCTCCAAGGTGTCTACTGACCTAATTGACCAATAATGCACGTTTTAAAAAAAGAGAACTTATCCTAGTTTACTTACTGCTCTACTTGTCGCTATTAGCCATTCCGTCCATATTGAATTCTATCTTCCCTCCTGGTTCTGTTTATACCTCTTTGGATGTTCCATAGCCTTCTGCTTCCTCTGCCTACTCCTATAAGTTAGTGTCCTCATTGCTACTCTCACTCTACATGTAGCTTCATCCACTCTCGTGGCTTCAGCTACCACCTTTTACTGATGACTCTCCAAATGGTGTCTCCAAAAGACAGGAGGGAACTTTTGGGGGCTGGTGGAAATATTCTGTATCTTGATTGTGGTAGTGATTACATGACTGTATACATTTATTAATACCCACCAGATGTAAAATTAGTGATTTTTTTAATATGAATTACACCTCAATGACGTTGACTTAAAAAATATATGGTACATTTTTGGTATATGGCATATTTTTGGTATATTTCTGACTCGAACCTCTCCACTGAACTTCAGACTCATATACACAGCTGCCTACTGAATATATTCCCTCACATGTTCCCATGAACTTCAAACTCAGTGGGTCTAAAATTGAACTCATCATCCTTTCTCCAAACCTGCTTTTTGCTTATATTTTCTATTTCACTTGTGGATCCACTGATCTTCTTAGTCTCTTCTTTTTCTCCACATTCAGTTGTTCATCAAGACATCTAGATTGCAATTCATAGATATTTCTTGAATCAGTCCCCTCCTCTCCATCCCCTTACCATATAAACTCAATCTCTGATCATCTTTCACTAAACTATTGAAGCTGCATCCTAATTGTTCCCTTGGACTTTAGTCTTATCATTTTCAAATCCATCTCCACAAGGTTGCCAGAACAATCTATCTAAAACACAAATCTGAATAGCATGTTCCTCCCTATTTGAAACATTTCAAGTGCTCTGCACCTCCATCCTTATAG